GCTTTCGTCTTGTCCGAACTAGAGTCGGGCGACACTGAAGTAACGGGCTGAGCATACTGAATAAAATTTTGAGCAGGCTGGAAAGCGTGGTAATATGAAGGAACTGGAGCTATTGGGATGAGACAACTCTCCACCTCATGAGCCCGACTCACAGTGTCGACGTAGGACATCAATCCGTGACTCCCCACCAGTTCACGGATCCTCTGGTTAAGCCCCATAAGAAATTTGCGGGCCCTCTTAGCATCAGTATTCACCGAGTCGCCAGGAAAAAGACACATCTGGGTAAATGTGCGAATATACTCATCCACGGTGGAGCTACCCTGCTGCAGATGGTAGAACTCATGCTCCATCCGATCCCAAAAACTCTGGGGAAGGAACTTGCCGCGCACCATCACCTTCATCTACTCCCAAGTGAGAGCATTAAGTTCCGCCTCTGGCCTCCGAGCCCAGTGGTCAATCCACCAATCGGAAGCGTCCTCCTTCATCTGGTAAGCTGCGAGAGATACACGCTGTCGGTCCGGCAGAGAGAGCACAACAAAAATCTTATCCAGCTCCTTGATCAATTCCAGTATCGCAGTGAGGTTCTCAGTCCCCGAGAAAGTCGGTGCATTCATTCTCTGAAACTGGACTATGAGCCAGGTAAGGTCCATGGCCTGAGGGGCCTGGTGATGATGAGGAGGCGGGGAAGGAGACAGGGATGGCAGACGGTTGCGGTTGTTGCGGGTATTCATATCTCTACATTAAATAGGACGAAAAGATTTAGCACCACGACATAAATAAGGAAGTCTAGAGTTCGCCATTAAACACTAGAGTTCAAATTTTAAAGGTGGATAGATCCTAAGCCCCGATTTAGCACATGCATAAGCAACAATGAATAACGAGCATTTCATAAGTTACCTCAGTGATACTAATGACTTACATATCTTGAGCGGCGCGGCATGACGAAGACGAGTGGTCGATGCTTAACTCAAATAATCATATTTGCACATAATTCAAATTTAAGCAGTCTACAGAAACGTAGACCCACTCTGATACCATACTGTAACGCTCCACTTTTATTTGACAAAAGTCAAAAACTTTTCAAAAAGTCAACAGAAATTTTTTCGAAATTCTTTTCATAAATCATTTGGCGTTACTCGACATATAAACAACATTTACGAATTATCAATTACTCGCAAGTAATTTAAACATCATCAATTATCCAGAGTCAAATCGTAACCACCCTCACAGGGTTCCAAACAAAGTTTTGAAATCAATCATTAGCAAATGGGGCATCTCCCCAAACCAGTGTTCAAATTTCTCAAATCATATATAATCCAGAGTTCAACATAATGACAAAAGTAACCATATTATATATAGCAAAACTGAAGCTACATAATAATGTCCGGTCAGATAACCGACCACCACTCGTCTTTCGCCGCCATGCAGCCGCCGGCTCAACCTGCATCCATGAAGAGCAGGTGGGGATGAGCACATTTGGAATCCGTTGTGCTCACCACTATGCAATGAACAGTTATATTAAATGGGTACAGAAAGTAAATATGGCATGGTCACAAGTATGAACATAGACAATCAAATCTTTCCCATCTCCTATCCAGAGTCCATTACATATCTCATGCGCACACCTATCAGAATAGACTACATTTGGTCCACGTGTCGTCTCCCCGCGAGAACTCTAACGTTGCCAAAGTAGGAGAGTCATCCGTCGACCCCGAGGGTTTTAGACGGGAAATCCACTGTCAACCCCGAGGGTATTAGACAGGTCTGCCAACCCCGAGGGTTTTAGGCAGGAAATCCATCACTGACCAAGGCTCATGCCAAGGTCTGCAATACATTAATAAAGGAGACTACCCATCGGGTACGTTCTATAACTACGGGGATACCGTTTGACGGCCGGTACAGCTCACGCCGAAGTTTACATGTTCACATTTCATACTTTGATCATACCCAAGTAAGTAAACAAATTTCACTATTCAAGGCATAGACAATTTTATAAGTAAACCCACTTGGAAATCGAGGGAGAATATCACACAAAAGCAAGTACGTATGTCGAGGCTCGACTCCTCAAACGCCTACATTTAAGCGAGATAATTTATTAATAATCTATCTCACTACTCGAATTTAACACAAAACCCATACTTAATAAAAATTAAGATTTAAGGGTTTTAATCGGATTTTTCGTGAATTTGGAACTCTCTCATTTTGAAAAATAGGACTCGGTGAAACAAAATTGGAGCCTCAAGACTTGAAATAATATTCCCAAAAATTTTTCTCAATTTATAAATATTTTTAAAATTGAAATCGGTGCGAAAAACTGACTCCGGAACACTAAAATTGGCTTAAAACCGAAATGGGTTGCGCTGTCGTGCTATTGGGCCAAACAGCTTCCCAGAACTTGGGCCTAGTACACTTAATTTGGCCGAGAAGGGACCCTCAATGGCTGCAAGGGGGCCTGCCAAGTGAAAAAGGGAGCGGGCTCTGGGCTTACACGTGGGCCAGAGAAGCTGAGGGATTACGGGCTGAGGCAAATGACAGCAACGGGCCGCGCACGGGTCTTGTACGGGCTGGACAGCCCGCGCTGCTGGGCTGTGTTTAGAGGAAAAAAAAAAAGATACAATGGGATTCGAACCCCTAACCTCAATCAAATAGTCAAGGGATTAAACCACTGTGCTATCACTTGGTTTATGCTTTAAATGGAAAATTTTTATACAAAACTAAATCTGCAGATTTAAAATCTGGAAGAGCAGAATACCAACAGAGACCCAGAACAGGTTTCCTTCGGACACCAAAACGAAAATTACACGGCTCGAAAACGATAAAAACGAGACTCCGAACTTAAAGGATTTTACCACAGCAACACAATGATATATACATTTACGAAATCGAGAGTTCCAATCATCCCCGAAAATCCACAAATATACACATATAT